CACGGCAGACTAGCAGTTGAGCTTCCCAGGTACACAAGACCCCCTGGAGCCTTCACTATGGTCTATAGGTCAAGGATGCTGCTCTGTGCCTCACACGCCCACACCCACACACAGGTACACAGCGCTCAACAGCTTGAAGAAATTACCTGTGATTCTTTGACCTGCTTACCTGGATCTGAATTCTTCTGTAATATTTTTAACCAATCCAGATGGACGCTTCTTTAGGAACAGTAAACCCCAGTATCTCAGAATTAAGGAGCGCTCAGCATGTCCAAAGCATAGCAAGGGATTTGTTCCACCATGAAGACCAGGGAGAGTATCCCCACCTTCATGAATTCAGCTTGCTAAGGAGAATACAAAGACAAAGACACTCTTTTTTTAGCAAATAGGTACCCAAAAGGGCATGGAAGAGAGGTGAAATATGTCATAGCAAGGCCAGCAGAATCCCCTGGTCTTACCATTACATGTGATGCTTTCAAATGGGTTCTTAGTATCTTAATTTTGAGGAAAAGAAGTAGAAGGAACCAGCCAATGTGTTTGCATGGTTAGTTTCTGCCTATGACATTGAACTTGAGAGAGCTGCGACCTTTGGAGAAACCAAAGATGGTTCAAATGACTGTGAGAATAAATGAACTTAGTGCTCTTTGCTGACAAGTTGAAGTTTCCTAATTGTAAAGCAGAACCAGCAGCCACCAACCCAGAAGGTCTACCCCACAGATGGAGAAGAGATAAAGCACTGAAACTCAGCCTGAGGGACCTCCCCGGCCCTGGGGCGCAGGGCCGATTCACTGCTTCAGAGTCAGCAAAGCAAGTTCTCTTCACCAACCAGCTTCAGAGCAGCTGTTTTATTAACATCTGGAGATCTGAGCACTCTCTTCCAAGCCTGGAGATCAGAGGAAAGGGGACATGGAGAGGGGCGCAGTTCCCAAGGCAGGGGGAGTCTACGTTGTTGCCCCAGGAAAGGCCACTTCCCTCCCAAGATGCCTGGGATTTTCCACTGCAGCAGGGGAAGGTAACTGAACACATAGCAAAACAGCGAGGGCACAGCAGACCTCCCCGCACTGTTCTGAATCAGAAATCCAGCAGGACAGAGAAGCCCTTCGCTGGCCTAGGGGGAGCTAGGCCCAGCCCCATCACACCTGCGCCCTGAGAAAAGCTGAAGCCAGACCAAGAAGTCACCAAGAGCTACAACAGGACATTGGAGCTGGGGTTTTGAGGGCCCGGACTGAGGCTGGGCCCAGCTGGGAACTATCCAGAGCTTTGGTCTCTGCGCCTTTGCCCTCCAAGTAGACATACCTCATGTCCCTAACATTCTCTCTCCAAGTTATACTACCACTTTTCCCAAAGCAGAGACATTTCACAGACCCTTACAGGCCTGGTATCTGCTTATAGAGACTCGGTCCCGGAAGGAGCTATTAAATAACCCACCGTTTAAGTTTGCAAACTTCTTAAGTCTTAATGACAAGTGAAACCACATTCTGACAGCAACTGCAAGTTCCCTAGTACCCAGTAACTTCCCTTTTTTTTTTTCCCTTGGGATACTCCCTCCTGCTAAATCACAGGCCCACCCAACCCCAATGACCCCGAAGAAAGACAGAGAGCATGACACATTTTGACCTGGAAGATGTGGGGAACACGTCTTCTCCTGAGAGCTTAAGACCAAATGGAAGTTGCTTTTCCCCTTCACCTCAAATGCACTGATGGACACTCCGAACTGGACCCCAGCACCAAGTAGGAAAGCAACCAGGGGCAGTAACTCTGAGGGCACAGGCGGGACCACCCAGCCCTAGCCCTAGACAGAGTGGTAAAGGAAGCAACACTACCTGGCTCTCCCTTCTTCCACTCCCTACCTTCCCATTTGCCCTGTTCCTTTTGGTCTCAGCTGGCAGTCACTTCAAATCTAGCCATTGAGGTTATCGGCTAGTAAATGCTGACAGCATGCTCATTTGTACATATCAAAACATGAGGGACAAGCTCTCCTAGTGGAAAATCTGGTGACATCCAAAGGGAGGAACTACCGTGGTAGAGTTACCGATGTTGCACTAAGACTTTGGAGCAAAGGAGACTCCATTCTTCTCACAAGCAAATGCCAGCCCAAGGCATCAATGCTGACAAAGACCTAGATGCCAGCGATACACAAGGTGGCAGACAGTGCCCCACACCCCCCTACCCCCTATGCATTCCCACACACACACACACACACAACCTGCCCTTTTCTGGCTGCCAGAAGCACAAGACCTGGGATTAGGTCAGGCCCCCTGGCCCTTAAGCACCACTTTCAAGATTTTTGAATAATGACGATGATCATGGACAGGGAAGGCTGTAGGTTTCTGTCATAAAAACACTTTGCAGAAAGCCTTGGAAATGGTGTAGGAACAAGACACAAATTAGGCTCATTATTTAAATCGAGAGACCACGTTTGGGATCTTAATGTTCTCAAAAACAAACAAAGAAACAAACAACAAACAAAAAACGGAAATCACTTTTTTTCCCACGTTTGCCACAAGGTATTTTCTAGAAAACACAGAATTTCATTTCTTCTGAGGAAAAATGGCTGGGAGACTAGCTGACCACTGGCACGGTGGTCAGGGTCATTTGTAGTTTCCTCACAGGCGAGAAACCACTGGGACTGACAGAACCCAGCTGGAGGCGTTCGCCCAGGCAGACACCCAGAGCCAAGAAATGTCACGAAGAGCAAGTATTTACTGCGGGATTACTCGGCACCAGACACTTTTCACACTTCGCCTCATTCAATCTGCACAACAGCGATATGGGAAGAATTGTTATCATCCCATTTTTATAGATCAGCAAAACAGGGCACAGGTCCTTGGAGTAACTTAGCCAGGGTCAAATAACAAGAAGCAGAGGTGGGCTTTAAACCTAAGCTGTGTGATTCAAGAGCCTGTGCTCTACCTAACATGCCCTCACATAGAGAACTTCCTGGGTGACATCAAGACAATGGGAAATTATAGTGTGGGTATATTCGTGCATGAGTGTGAGTGTGTGTGCGTATGCGTGTGTGTATAAACCGATAATGAAAATACAGCGGAGCATACGTGGGTAGCCGAGAAAGCCTAACCTAGATTAAGGTAACAGAGGATTTAGTGAAAATACGGTGGGTCAGGTGCTACCTTTGGGAATAGAAGCTGGAGAGGAAGGAGACTTACTTTTCCCTGTATGTTTTGATGTCTTGTTTAAACATTTTATCATGTACGTATACTTCCTCTTTTCAAAACTTTTCATTGAAAAGAAAAATCTACATGTTACCGTCAAGTCACTGAGTATTTGAATTTACTGAGTCATATTCTCTAAAACACAGGCACGTGAAAAAAAGCAATCCCACACTACAGAGGTCCATCGCATGTACTGCAGGCAAGCCATGGCAGGTGGCTTCATTTGGTGCAAGAGAGAGGACTCAACCAGGGGTGTCTGAGTTGCTCAAGACCCAAGAGCAGTAAGAAACGAAACCATTCAACCATCCTCTCCTATTTTCATTTTCAAACTAACCGCGCCCACCACCCACCACCCTCTTGCTGGCTGTCACCACTGCAGGACCTGCCTCTGTTTAGAGAGTAAGTGAAAGAATGGATGACCTCACTTTCTCCAACAGGTGGGTCCTAAAGTGTTGTCTGCAAAACAAAACTTGAGTAAATCAATTCATAGTTTAAATACCCTAGCAGAAGTCCTTGTTTTAGCAATCTTGACGAGATCCTCTTTACAAAGCAAAGAAGCCAATTTCATGATAACGCTGTGTTTTGTAAATAATTTTTTTCTTTTTCTTTTTCTTTTTTTTTTTTTTTGTTGGTGCTCTACAAGGATCCTAGTTTTAGCCTGGAGCCAATCTTCTGAGCTGTCTGGGTGTCTGGGAGACTGGCGGGGCAGCCTGGTCATGAGCCTATTTGCATGAGACCAAGGACCCTCCTGTAAGAGACGTCATTGTGAGGGCTGAGAGAGCCTGCTCAAGCTCAACCCAATAAGAAAGGCTGGGGCACTGAAGGGGAACCGTAATTCAGAGCCTAGAGCCTAGAGCATGCTAGATTTCTTCCTAGCCGCCTGTGGACTCGAATCAAGTCATATAGCAGGAGGGAGCTATGAACACAAGCTCCGGAAAATGCCACGAGGTCCTCCTTTGACATCCCATCAAAGAGGTGAGTAATATGCTCCCCAATTTTGCCCTGAACCAAACGAGTATCAATAACTAAGGGCTCCAGCACACCCAGCACACACCCTGGCTCCTCAGCGGGAGCGGGATCACCCCAGTGCCAGCAGTGAGGACAGCACCGGCAGCCCAAGACAACCCCCTTGGCAGAGATACCAAAGTCTTCACCAGCAGGGTCCCCAAGAGGCCACTAGAGAGCAGGGCTGTAGCTGATTTGGCTGCAGTGAGCTGGAGCAGGTGAGGAGGAAACTGGCACATGCCACATGGTAGCAAAAAGGAGTCATTTATGTAGGCACTGAACACTGCACCTGGAGACTCCTCGAGAGAAATGCATGAGATTTCGGGGGAAAAACAGACATTTCTGCAACAGCCGGTCTGCAGATGGCTCAGCATATTATTATCTTATGTATAACCCCAGGCCCTTGGGCTGTGGTGTGGTGTTAGGAAACTCAGGTCAGAACCTCTTAGGTTTTTACAAATATGAATGAACTGGAAAACTGAATCCTGGACTGTTAATCTGGTAATTAAAGTATTTTTTTTAAGTCATCGTCAGCCTTAGCTTCTCCACCAACCCCAGTGAAAACTTTCTGATTTCAGCTTTACTTTCCTTCTCGACACATGCCAAAGTGCTGAGTCACTAAAAAAGAAAAAAAAAAGAAAAGAAAGTAGAGGAAGCTTCTTAGGGCTCCTTGGTAATGACATAAGCACACTTTTCCCCCTGGTTGTGATTCCTGCGATGCTAAAGAACTTCACATTGCACAATCATAATAAGGCTTCCAATCAGCCCCACCCACTCTGGCCCACCCCCACCCTCCAACGAAGATTTATCAAATGTGGGATTTTCCCATGAGTCTCAATATTAGAGTCTCAACCCCCAATAAATATGAGACTGGAGATGTCTGAGGCTCATTCTGTCCTCAAGCCCACCAGGAAGGAAAGAGAGCTCCATCTCCCTCCAGGAACTCAGCTATGAACTCCTTCTGCACAAGTAAGTGAAGAAGTCCGCAGCAGGACGCCCGGCGGCCCCCAGCCTGGCTGAGAGGGGTGTGTGCGCCGCCGGGCGTGAGGGCTGGCGGGCGGCCAGAGGCCAGCGGCGCAGCTCCCCCCGCTGTGCGGTCTGCTCACTGCCGCTCTCCTTCCCTCCGCAGGCGCTTTCAGGCCAGTCGCCTTCTCCCTGGGGCTGCTGCTAGTGATGGCTACTGCTCTCCCTATTCCGGTTCCCTCCGGAGAAGATTCCAAAGATGATACCAACTCAAACAGACCACAACTCACCTCTCCAAACCAAACCGAAAACCTCATTAAGTCCATCTTCCTTGAAATCTCTGAAGTGAGAAATAAGGTGGGTACGCTCTCCAGAGGGTGATGGATGGCCCGTGTGGGCGTTCATCTCCTTGCCCCTGGGTGGGGACAGGGGGTCCTGCATTGGGAGGTCTTTATTAGGTTCTGGGACAGTTTAGACTTGAGGCCAAAGAGGCAGACTGTCTCCTGCATTTCTCCTCTGCTGCTGGTCTCAGGGAGTTCATTTCCCTCCTGGAAAATACAGAATGGAGCGGGAACCCATGGTCCCTGCCCCATTCCCAGCTCCATACTTGGCATGAGCTGAGGATCACTGCCTCTTAGGACTTCCTTTCCCTCAACCAAAAAATAAGGTCTGTCAACCTTTTTTGTGTGTCCCTTGGACTTTGGGAGGATTAGAAAAGTGCCACCTGAAATGAATGTTCAGCTTCTCAGGACAACTGCAGTACTTTTAGGTTACACGAGCTCAGTAACTGGGGACTCCCCAAAGTCATTCCAGCTTATAAAAGGCAAACCAGATAGCCCGCCAAAGTGGCACAGTCATAGGTAGGTGAAAGCGGTTCCTAAGCTTTGAATGACGTAAGGTAGTGAGACTCTATTTGGTAGAAAGGAAAAGAACACAGGAAAGGACATTGGGAGCCCCGAACCTACAAATTTCCTGCCACTTCTGGGCCCCATCTGTAAAATTATGGGACTGGACTAGATGATCTCACAAGTCCTTCCAGCTGGAACATTTTATGGCTTGAATTATATTTACCCAATGATCACCAAAAAATTGATGTCATTTATTAAGTAGCTACTATGGGCCAGGCACTTTATATAAGTATGTCTCATCCTCACAATAAACTCATAAAGAGGTGTTTCAGTATTCCCAATGTAGAGAGATGGGGACACTGAGACCTGAGATAGGCAACAAGCCTGAAGTCACAGGTGAGCCGAGAATTAAACCCAAGTGCGCCCGCCTCCACTAGATAGTGCTTGCCTGGATGCTACTGGGTTCTGACTTCATTTTTCTTAGAGGATTTCCTGGCCACGGTAGAACATGAATAGGCCCTCTAGTGGTATTTGTTTTAGGGGCCTTTACATGATGACAGTTCTGAAATTTCTTCCCAGATGTGTGGCAACGATGACTCATGTAAAAACAGCAAGGAGGTACTGACAGAAAACAACCTGAACCTTCCAAAAATGGCAGAAAAAGATGGATGCTTCCAGTCGGGGTTCAATCAGGTATGAAAGCATCACATTCACTGTTAGCTATTCCTTAGTCAAGAGTTCTTGATCTTGCATGCAGTGTCTGTATACATAGAGACCAGGTAGGCAACAAAGAAGGGGATAAATGTAAAGAACACTGTGTAAATTTAATGAGGGCGCCAGCTGAAACCTTTGTAAAGGCAACTTATTTCTGAATGGCATGGTCAGAGATAGCCCACCTGGGTGGGGATTTTCACGACTGTCAAACATTAGAATCCCCAGCAGGTTTCGCTAGCTCATCCTACGTACAGCGTGGTCCAGGGGCCTTTCTCCTTCTTGGCCGCCCTTAGCAGGACCCAGGCTTGCCCTCCCTGCTGAGGTCATTCTGTACACCCTTCTTCCCCTTCTAGACAGCGAGATAACCCGCGCTGACCTCTGATTACTTCAGCCCAACACGACAAGGGCAGGCGTGCAGCCAGAGGGCAGAGAATTAAAGGGAGAATCACAGAAGGACCCCCTTGTCACATTCTAGCATCGGTTGGGCTTTGGATAAAATTGATTGAGTTGGGTAGAGGGAGAAGTTGTTAAATTACAGCACGTTCCGCTCTTAAAATCAACTATATCTTCCTAGCAGTAACCAATAGTCCCACCATCTTTCCTCTTAGGAGACCTGCTTGATGAAAATCACTACCGGTCTCCTGGAGTTTCAGATATACCTGGACTACCTCCAGAACAAGTTTGAGGAAAACGCCAAGGCGATGCAGATGCGAACCAAAGCCCTGGTCCAGGTGCTGAAGCAGAAGGTGAGCATCTCCTGTCTCCTCACGTGGCATGGGAGAGACGGGCTCAGAGCACGCTGCCCAGGCAACTCGGGAATGCCGGCTAGTTCAGGAGAGGTGGCTGCCTGGGAAGGAAAAGATCCGAGAAATATGTCCTGAGAGTTAAAACGGTTTTTTTTTCTTTTGCTCTCTTCTGCAGAAGACATCAATAACCGTATTTAAAACTAAGTCAAATGAGGCGAATTTTAACATCGACTTTTAATAGCTTAAGAAATAAGAAAAAAATATATCCGTAGAGGCACATCCATCCCTGCTCAGTGACCCATGATAACAAAGAACAGAGAGCACGAAAAGTATTTTAATATTTTAATTTTGGCCAAGTGATATTCTTGTCATTATGGTAGTTTCCACCCTTTTTTCCCAACTTTTTGCCAGAAGAGTTAATGCAGAGACATGGCTAAAGGCTGGAAGAGCCAGTACCACGGGCTTTGTTACTCCCAGCCAGCCATTCAAACGCCAAGCAAGGGAGGCCCGAGGGCACAGTGTGGATGAGCCCAACGAAGCGCAGGGAGAGGGCCCTGGATGGAGGGGCACATGGGTGCTAATCCTGCCTCACCCTTTTCTAGCCGTTTGCCTTAAACCAGGGCACCTCCCACTGTAATGTGAACACAAATCCCCTGGGGATCTTGTTCCACTGCAGAGTCTGATTCAGCAGGTCTAGGTGAGACTTGAGATTTGCATTTCTAACAAGCTCCAGGCGATGCCAAGGCTGCAGCACACTCAGGACCAACTTGGAGGTGCAAGGCCTTCCACAGCCACCTAGCCCCAAGTCAGGGGATCTATGGAAAGGCGTTTCTCGGTCCTCCTACACCACTAGATCAGTGGACTCTCAGTAGATGCTAAATGGATGGGTGAGAATGGAACCAAAGAAAAATGTTACTTAAAGGCCACTCAAGAACTCATTAAAATGCTTTAACTATAGGTTCTTCTTTTATTGATTGAATTCCAACTACATGCCAGGCACTGTTTAGGCTAACGGAGGACAAATTAGATTCTGTGCTTGCCCTCGTGATGCTTGTGGTCTAAAGGAGACAGAGCAGCGAAGGGATGCTTAGAATTCAGTTGCTATGACAGGGCTGCACCCAGGTGGGCTCAGAGGCGAACCTCCGCCCCCATCTGGGCGAGTCAGAGCAGCTGGCCCCACTTACAGTCTCCTTGACCTCAAATTTGAACATCTTCCCGCAGCCCAGAGCATCCTACCACTAAAAAGGATTTGTGTGATATTTAAACAATGCTTTTTGTTTTCTTCTCCCTTTAGGTAAAGAATCCAAATGAGATAACCACCCCTGACCCAACCACAAACTCCAGCCTGCTGGCTAAGCTGCAGTCGCAGAGCGAATGGCTGCAGACCACGACAATTCACCTCATCCTGCGAAGCCTTGAGGATTTCCTGCAGTTCACTCAGAGGGCTGTCCGGATAATGTAGCTTGGGCATCCGAGATCCTTGTAGTTCACGGACATTCCTTCCTCTGGTCGGAAGTCTGTCCACTGGGCACATAACTTATGTTGTTCTCTATGAAGAACTAAAAGTATGAGCGTAGGACACTATTTTAATTATTTTTAATTTATTGATATTTAAATATGAGTTAATTTATATAAGTGATATTTATATTTTTATGAAGTGCCACTTGAAATATTTTATGTATTAGTTTTGAAAAAAAAAAAAATAACAAAAAATGGCTATACAGCTTGAATATCCTCATTTCAGAGCCAGACCGTTTCTTGGAATGTGTAGGCTTACCTCAAATAGATGGCTAACTTATACATATTTTTAAAAGAAATATTTATATTGTATTTATATAATGTTTAAATTGTTTTATACCAGTAAACACCTTTTTAAAAAAAAAATCAGCAGCTAAGTCTCTGTGTGTCCTTTGAAGCTTAATATTAAAAAGTTTCTGTCATCACCATCACCAACATAAAAAGCTACAATAACTGAGCAGCTACTGCATGCCAGGCACCGTGATACACCTGTTGCACCCACCACATTTCATCCCAGCACTTGCACAGTCTTTCAGGGGTGTGAGGGAATAAGTGATTTCCCTAAGTCACCACAGGAAGGTAAGGCACGGGCCCAGATTTGAAAATCCAGATCTCCCTCCAGGCCCTCTTCTCTTAACTCTCAGGTCCCACTGCATCCCAGAGAATTGAAAGATAATGTAGAAAATCCCAAAACATGTTAATAAAGGGAATACGTTTAAAGATGTAATCAAAAGCCTTTGCGATGACACAACCACTTGTATAAGGCAGCAACGTGCAAGCTTCCAAATAATAACTAGGAATACTGCCTCCTTCTTCTGGGTTCCACAAACGCTGCATGCATCTGTCATAGCACCTACCACACTGCATCCCATCTTAAAACTGATGGATTTTTCTTTCCAGCCAGCATGTGGGTTCCTCGAGGCACACTCTGTTAAATACACTGTGCGTCCTAAGCCAACGGCCCACAACCTGAACATAGGAGGCCCCCAAAACATTTGTTGAATGAAGAAACCATACCCAGATGATCAAATACAAGACACCTCAATTCTTGGGACATGTACTGTTGGTCAGTGACAGGGGAAATCAAAAACACTGTGCACTTGTGAATCTTCATCTTAAGGAAAACAGCAAGAATTAGAAAGAAACATTCTAAGAACTTCTAAAGGAGCCAATGAATAGTCAGTGCATGTATATCTATCTCCATTTCCTTTCCTACCAGCAACATTCTTCATCCACACTCCCCCCCACCCACCCCACCCCGCATAGAGAGCGGTGGGGAGAGAGGCAATCTGGGTAACTGCACATGGCCTCTCCACCCCACTTCAACGCAATGTTGAGAATTTGGTAAAGATTCTCCCTTTTCGACCCTAGCAGTATAATAGTTCTGTCTTCTAATAAAGCTTTCCCCGCCCTAACCACTATACACTTTTTGCTCCAGGAAGACTTTCTGCTGAGCAAGGAAAATTCCACACAAGTCAGAAACCAAGAGGAGCTAAGCAAGAAAAGAGCCACGTACTCTGATTTCTAGAAGCCATGCATCACAAGTGAGCTTCCCAAAATTAGGGCCAAATCGAAGAACAGAGAGGAACAGCAGCTGACGGACACCTCGTTCTTCAAACAAAAATGTGCCGAGCACCATACATGTCAGGTAATGCTAAGGATGCAGAGGTGAGCCAGCTAGACATGACCCCTGCCCTCATGCGGTTTACACCGTGGCATGGGAGAGAGACGTTGCACAAAGAATGTTAAGTGTGATCAGGTTCACAAAAGAGAACTGCTCGGTGTGCCAAGAACCTCTTCTGAGGGGGACCTAACAGCCCAGGGCGGGTAGTCATGAGGCTTAATTGAAAAAAGAGAGTTTGGGGCTGAGATGTGAAAGATGTGTGGAGTTAGCCAGGCCGCGATGGGTGGGAAGAGCAGTCCAGGTAGAGGGGAGAGCATGCGCGAAGGTCCGAACGAACAAAGAACACGCGATGACGGGGACAATGAAAACTACATTATGTCCAGTGCCTAAGAAAGAGGGTGTTGGGAGCGAGGAGAGAGGGCGGCTGGGACCCCCAGATCACTGACAGCATCAGAAGCCATATTCAAAGTGTGGGGATTTATCCCATATGTGGTGAGAAGGCATTGACAGCTTTTAAGTAGTAGAATGACGTACGACGTTTACATTTTAATACGATCACTCGAGTGACAGTATGGAGAATGAATAGCAAAGGGGCTGGAAGAGAATGTTGGGGAAACATTCCAGAGGACTTCACTGTAGCCCCGGGGCGGGATGACGGTATTCTGAACGAGGATGGTGGTGATGGCTAGAGAAGAGAAGGTGACAGCTGCCCGCCACCAACAAAAGACAGCTAGGAGCTACTTAATTAGAATGTGGTGACCAGTAATCAAGATTCAGAAACTTCAGACGACGCCAAGTCTTTGAGACAGGGAAGAAGTAGGGCTTGGATGGAAGAGTAAAGCACAGAGAATTTTGGATTTGAGAGTATTTATCATTCATTCATTCACACATTCTCTAAACACCTGCAATGTGCCAGATTCTCCGCTGGGCCTTGGGGGTGTAATAGTGAGTCAGGGAGAGGAGGTCTCTGCTCTCATGGAGCTTATAGTCTAAGGAAAACAATTTAAAGAAATAACTACTATACTGCATGCTAAGCATCTGTGCTACTGCTATGAATTGAATTGTGTCTCCTAACAAGGTACGTCGAAGTCCTAACGCCTAGAACCTGTGAATATGGCCTTCCTTGGAAATAAATCTTTGCAGATGTAATCAAGATGAGGTCATTAGAGTGGGCCTTAGAAGAAGAGAGGAGATAGACAGGGAAGAAGTCTGTGAAGATGAAGGCAGGTATTGGAGGGATGCATTTCTAAACCAAAGAACACCGACGATTGCAGACGATCACCAGAAGGTAGGAAGAAAACATGAAAGATTCTCCCCGAGAGTCTTCAGAAAGAGCACAGCCCTGCTCACACCTTGATGTCAGATATACAGCTTCCGAAACTGTAAGAGAATAAATTTCTGTGTTTTAAGCCACCCGGTTCGTGGTAATTGGTTGTAGCAGCCACAGGAAACTTACCGCTGCTACGGCAGTGCACGGTCCGGTCCGAAGCTGAGGGCTCGGGAGAGGCTTCCCAGAAATAATGACATTTAAGCTTCTATCAAAAGACCGTACAAGATCGAGCCGGTGGAGATGCAGGGCAGGTGTCGCAAGCGGCCAGCGCGGGCTGTGCAAAGGCTCGGAGGCAGGAGAGAACGTGTTGGAAGGACTGAGGAACTCTCAACTGCCAAAGCGCAGAGACCGGAGTTGTGGAAATGGAGCCAAAGCAGCGGGATCCAAGCTGTGAAGCGGCCTAGAGGATGGAGGGAATGAAGTCGTTAACGTCAGAGAAAGGGCGGCTTTCTTGGAAAGAGCTTTTGGTCTGGTTTTGTATTGTTTGTTTGCTTTTGTTCTTTAAATGGTCAGAGATTTTTGAGTTTCTCCTTGTGGCATGGGGTAAGGAAGCCGGGATCCAGAAGTAGTGTCTAGAAGAGTTTTCTGTAGCAGCTTCCAGCAAAAGGGCAAATAGTACCAGGAAAGCAAGAGGCAAAAAAAAGAGAGAAGACGATACAGAGCTCTTGTGGCAGATGTGACTTCGGAACTTTGGACACTGCGATGTCTGGTAGCGAATTTTAATTTATTTTCTGCCTTACTCATAAAACTTCCATAAGCTTGATTCGCCAACATAAATCAATACATGGCAGCTTTGCATTAGCCTAGCTGTGAAGAATGAAGGGAGGTTCATGTTCACCTTCTGGGGCAAAATGGACAATGTATGGTTGAAAACAGGAAGAGTAAGAGAAGAGATCAAAGAGAAATCAAAGGGAAGAGTTCAAAGAGAGACGGGATAGGCAACAACCAGGACACGTAAGACCCTCCAAGAAAATCAAGAATACTCAGGAAGAACTCGGAAAGGTCACAATTTCCTGTAGTCGGCTTGAAATGGAGACACTGTTTAACATATCTGGATGCTACAGGAAACAATTAGCTCCAAAGTCTGGGAGTTTGGGGGCATTTCGGTTACGGTATGAAAATGACCCAAAAATCTGCAAGAGAGAAAGCTGTAGGGAGGCAGCCGTCCAGATTCCACTCCTCGTAAAACTTCCTGGTTTCTGGTGAGTTAAGAATGGGAAGGAAGAGATAAACCAACACACGTGGCCTAAGAATAGTCTAATAATGATGATAATTAAAACATAACTGTTATTGAGCACTTACTGTACGCCAAGCGCAGGTCACTGCATGAATTACATCAGAGGCACATGTATCAAGCAAAGAAACTTGTACAAAGTCAGAAAGCGTGTAAATGCCACTACAGACTGCTAGTTAGACATTCTCCACTTCTCCCACAATAAAGAGTCTGAATTAGACGTGTGGCGACCCACCTGGAGACTACATTTATCATTCTCCTTTGCAGGTAGGTGTGGCTGTGCTGAATAAAGAACATAGCAGGCCTAAGATTGCTATCCTTAGAAAAGCCTGCTGACAAGCATGTCCCTTGACTGGCATCTGAGAACTTGAATGGTGAACATTCTCTATACCAATATAGAACTTTCCCCTAAGAACAGCTAAACAGTTTATACAAATATGGTTTATACAAACCGACTGCTTTCCTTCTGAGAACATGAAATTTTAACATGTACAAAGTAGAGGGTGTCCCAGTAAAAATTATGGGCACTGAGTTGCTAATGAACTTCTCTGGTAGACACATGTTGTCACAACTCATTTTTGGAGGAATTAAGTGCATCTGGTATGAATCGCCTGGGAGAGAACTCTTGGAAGCTCCTGCTTGATTTTCTCCAGAATTCAGCCCATGTGTTTTTTGTTTGCTACGATTACTTCGTATCCTTTTGCTGTGTATCCTCATAGCCTGTGACTCATATGCTGAGTTCTGTGAGCCCTCCTAGCAAATCACTGAACTCGAGAGTGGTACTGAGAATCGACACAGTGACTAAATTTTCACCTGTGACATGTGCCTTAAAAGATATTACTTGCCTTCCATTTCTAGTCTTTCACCTTTCTGTACATTAGAATAAAAATATGACGGTGAATCAGCTTCGATCATGCAGAACAGAGCTTAATAACCAGAGCTGTAATGTCTAATATGGTACACAGTAGCCACTCATGTCTTTAATTTTAAATTTAAATGTATTAAAGTTATATAAAATTTAAAACTAAGGCTCCCAATTTCGCACGTGCTGATGACTAT